AACCTTCGAGCCCTTAGGCAATGTATAACGAACTTGTGTAAACCTATGGTTATGTGAAGATTTAAAAGCAACATAGCCTGGAAAATGAGATTTGGTCTTGAGTCGAATGCAGGAATGAGATTGAAGCGCACTTGTTCGAAGGAAGCCTTTGCCTCAATCGAAGCTTGTGGTCGAAACAAGCTTACTCGAATGAAGCTAATGCTCAGTCGAAGCTTGGATTGAAGCAAACATAAAGGGAGTCATTTCCTTTTAGCATGAGGGAAGTTCCTGGCTTCTGAATCGAAGGGTGTTCTTTCAAGGGAAGCAAGAACTTAGTTAAATCTTGTATGAAGATATCTCTTGGCTCAAACGAAACTTGCGAGAGGCAAAGTTTGCAAGAGGCCCTTGGTGCAAGTGGATTCGAAGGATGCATAGAGATGGTTATTTTATCCCATCGAAGCTTGTCCAAACGAAACAAACATGCAGGCAACAAATGTCCAATCGAAGCAGGCTTGCAGGCAGTAAACTTGTCCAATCAAAGAATTTGCCTTGCAGGGGGCACATGTGGCCAGCAAGTCATGGCCTTCGATTGCAAGCATGCAGGTAGCACACTTGTCCAATCGAAAGGTTGAATCGAAGGAGGCCTATTTTCTCCAAATTTGTCAAAATGTTATTTTTACCTGTTTCCTCCCTTTTTGACAGTTTCTTTTTAATTTTGGTACTGGAAAATCCCAATGTACTTGTGCAAGCTTGAATCCTGAGAATCTTTGTGAGAAAGACCTTGAAGAATGAGAGGGTAAATTTTGGGGTACAACATGAGGCTTCTACATTTCCCTAGGAATGAGAGTCTCCATGATTGCTTAGGATAATGGACCACGGAGGTCATCTTCGTCACTTCTGTCTGGAGAGAAGGAATGGGACTGGTTGTAGTGGCGGTCGTTGCAATGGCCTTGACCGCGAGGAGGATCCCTTGGTCGGGGTTGTCCTTCTTCGTTTCCCTTGTTTCTATTGTTTCCAGGGGACCGTCTCTCTCTGTGCAGTGGGGTGTGACCACGTCTCCCCATAGCTACGGGTTGGATCCTCTCCAACACAGGACATCGACCAACTCGTCACGGAGAAGGGTTGCGCGAGATATCCCGCCCGCGTCTCTGCGGGGGAGACTGAGAAAGGTCTTCGTTCTGACGGGGAGGGGGAGTGTTCGGTCTCCTGTGTCTCCTGGGGTCCCGGCGAGTCTATCCGAGCATCCTTAGCCGCTCACCCTATGAGAAGATCAAGTATTTTATCTGGTTGATGGCCACGAACAGAGCTCTGGTCGTGGCATCGGCGCCCGCGGGGACGGGGACCTCCTAGAAAGAATTTGGTTCATAGTTCTGGGTAGGACGATATTCGTCCTCGTACGGTCGGGAGCAGGATAAAGAAGAAGCGGTCAGTCCGTCTCTGTAGTTCCGTTTGGGACCGGCCATGTTGATGTCGTTGTCAGCACTGTTGTTGTCAATGTTGTTGTCGCCAACGTTGTTGTTGAGGTCTGCGAGATGGGCGTTTTGGTTGTTGTTCGCAGCTGAGTCGGTCATGACAATCACATAGTTTGATGGAGAGTTGCTTTAGTCTTAAGATGGATATAGGGAATTAGTTTCCCACAGACGGCGCTGTTGATCATTACCTTATCAAAATGGATTGTCAAAACCCACAAGCTTTGAGCCGAACAACAATTGGATGTGAAGTGGAGGGAGTATCTGCAAGACACTCTGATGCCAAAGTGAGGTTCAAAACTCGTGCAAGCAAGTATGAGAGTAAGAATGAGAGATTGAATATCTGACCCTCTCAAATGAGAGAGTATTTATAGCCCCCAGCGTTGGGCTAAGATCCTCATCGTTGGGCTGGGCAAGCAGGCCTAAAATGGAGACTGCCATGTCCTAGGTGCATAGTAGGAGCCAACATGTGGTCTCCAACCTGGATGGACTCCTTCGAACTATCAGGAGGATATAGATGCAGTCTTTTCGAGACCAAGAGGACTCCGTGATATTTAGAGATATTGAGAGTCAGCCCTACGAGGAGGATGCTCGCGAGGTTCTTTTATACATCGTGGACCATCCCCGCCAATTGTGAGGTTGTCCCTGGAGGACTTGTCTTGGTCGACGAGAAGAGTGGAAGATGCTCGTGAGGTTCTCCTGACCGTCTTCGGCCCTCCTCGCTATTCATGGGGTTATCCTCGTAGAACAAAACCATGTTGACCAGAAGAGTGAGGTTACTGCACGACCTAGTCGATGGCAGATTTCGTTAGTATACTTTATCGCGTAGCACAGTCGGATTGGACCTTGTATGATGTTTGAGCCAAGTGCAGGCCCAGTCCAGAACAATTTTAAAACTGGTGTTAAAGGTTGCATTTTTATATGATACTATGCATAAATCTATTTTCATATCTTGTGACGTTGTGCACTTTGAAACTATATTTCCCTTTACCAAACCTATATCATCAACTACATCCCTTTCTCAACCTATTCATCATCCCTACTTTGATGACTCTTTTGACTACTCCAACACCACTCCTGCACCTGACTCTCCCACGAAGAACACACCTAGAACTCACAATATTCCTAATACATCTATTGGGCACACAACTCCCTTAAACTCGCCTCCCCATCTCTTCCCTACTACACCTGACAATCACTCTCCTCCAGACCTATATAACCCTTTCACTGCCACTAGACAATCATCAAGAATTTCAAAACCCCCTACATACCTCAGGGATTATCACTGCTCACTGATCACAGGTTCCTCTAACTCCAAAATCTCCCATGCTTCAGGTAAAACTCCTTACCACATCTTCAACTTTATTAATTACAATAACTTATCTTTTTCTCATAAACTCTTTAACTTATATATATATATATATATATATATATATATATATATATATATATATATATATATATATATATATATATATATATATATATATATATATATATATATATATATATATATATATATATATATATATATATATATATATATATATATATATAAAGAACCTACTTCTTATGCCATTTCTATGCTTGATCCAAATTAGCAACAAGCCATAGAGCTACAATCCCTCAATGATACCAAAATATGGTACTCCCTCCGGTCTCATTTATAAGAAAAAATTAACTTTTTAGATATATTAAATAAGTAATGTATTTGGACAATATATTGTCCAAATACATTACTTATTCAATATATATAAAAAGTTAATTTTTTCTTATAAATGAGACTGGAGGGAGTAATTAACTACTCTACCACATAATAAATGCGCCATTGGCTGCAAGTGGATTTTTAAACATAAATACAATTCCAACGGTATCATTCAAACATAAGGCCTTGATTATTTAGAGACATTCAGCCATGTCATTAAAATGACAACTATTAGATTATTACTGTCCATTGCTTCCTCTAAAAAATGGCATGTCCACCAGCTTGACGTAAATACTGCATTCTTACGTGGTGACCTCGAAGAGGAGGTTTATATGAAATCTCCACCAGGTTTAGCTGTTGACAAGAACATGGTATGTAAACTGAATAAGTCCATCTATGGACTTAAGCAGGCAAGTCAACAGTGGAATCACAAACTCACCCAAACTTTATTGCATAATGGTTTCCTGCAGTCTAAGTCAGATTACTCTTTATTTACTTTTACCATTGACAATGTTTTTACCGCAGTTCTTCTTTATGTAGACAACCTAATTCTTGTAGGAAATAACTTAGATCACATCAAAAACATCAAGTGTGTCTTGGATGCCAAGTTCACCATCAAGGACTTGGGTTTCCTTCGATACTTTCTTGGCTTCGAAATAGCACGCTCCTCCAAAGGAATGACACTCTTCCAGAGAAAATACTGTTTGGACTTACTTGAGAGCACAAGTCTCCTTGGTGCTAAACCAGCCTCAACACCAATGGATCCCTCACACAAGCTTGACAACACTGATGACACACCTCTTCCTGGCCATACTCAATTCAGAGTCATCATCGGTAAGCTTCTCTACCTCACTCACTCACGACCTGGTATCGTGTACTCTGTTTGCAGGCTCAGCTAGTATATGGCAGTCCCTACCGCATCTCACCTGCAGGCAGCACAACAGATCATATGATACCTCAAGAATGCACCATCCATGGGGTTGTACTTTCGTTCAGATTCGCCTCTTCTCATTACGGGCTTCACAAATTCAGATTGGGGAGCTTGCCCTCTTACGAGAAGATCAACTACGGGTTTCACATTCTTCCTTGGTGACAACATTGTGAGTTGGAAAACAAAGAAATAGCTTGTTGTTTCTCGCTCATCGTTCGAAGCTGAATATTGCGCCTTGGCCAACACATCTTGTGAAGCTCAATGGCTTCTATACCTTCTGTAGGATTTCCGCATCTCTCACCCCCAGCCTGTTAATATCGATTGCGACAATCAATGTGCCATCCACATTGCAACAAACCCGATGTTTCATGAACGTACGAAACATATTGAAATGGACTGCCATCTTGTTCGCGACAAAATCCAATCCAAGACTATCCACCTCATGCCCACCAACTCCGACAATCAAATAGCTGACTTATTTACCAAACAGTTACATTATGTATTGTTCCACTGTCTTGTTTCAAAACTGAGAATGTTAAACATACACTCCAGTTTTAAAAGGGTGTTAACTCCTAATATAGTTTCCTCTTCAGACCCGTTTACCTTTTGTCTTCTTCTTAAGTCCATTAAATTTTACTTTGTATCTTCTATGTAAGACCAGTACATAATTTGTGGTAAATTAATGAAAATAATTTATAATTCCTATTCATTTTTTGTCTTCTTTTTGCCTCGCTGACAAGTGTCAACATTAGTTTTTCTTATCGTAAAGATTTATTAAGCAAGACCCTAGATTATTTCTCTATTTAAATAAAGTATCTATTGTAACTCAACTTTATAATATATTATAAAATATTTTTCTACAATGTGAATCTTCCATTCATCATTCAACCATATTTGTTAAAATAAAAATAAAATTTCATGTTGAACGTCTTTTTTTGTCACAATCAGAGGAACTGGATATAGGTATACTTTCCAAAGCCTTGGCTTTCTCCCTTAGAATATACTTTTGTATTTTCCCGGTAGAAGTCTTTGGCATATGTTGAAAAATGACTGTTTTGGGAGCCATGTAATGAGGCAACCGTTCCCTACAAAAGGCAATTATCTCTTGAGCATCTGCATCAAACCCTTCTCTCAGCTTCAAAAAAGCACAAGGAGTTTGACCCCAATGATCATCCGGTCGGGCAACAACCGCGGCCTCATCAACAGCCGGATGACTATACAAAACGGTTTCTACCTCGACCGAGCTGATGTTTTCTCCTCCAGAGACTATTATATCCTTCAATCTATCCTTAACTTCTATGTAACCATCAGAATGTTTCACAGCAAGATCCCCACTATGAAACCAGCCACCTTTGAATGCTTCTTTTGTGGCCTTCAAATCTCTAAAGTATCCACTCATTACTGTATTCCCTTTAAACATTATCTCGCCAACTGTTTTTCCATCGGCCGGAACACTTTCCATAGTTTCAGAATCTTTGACATCAATGTCCTCCAATCCTACATGAGGCACACCTTGTCTAGCTTTCATCTTCGATCTTTCTTCCGAAGGCAACATGTCCCACTCAGGTCTCCACGCGCAAAAACTCCCCGGCCCGTATGTTTCTGTCAAACCATAGAGATGAGAAACGCTAAAACCAATCTCTTCCATCTTGGAAAGGATCTGCGGCGGTGGAGGAGAACCTCCTGTCACCACTAAAACCTTGTGATCGAGGGGCTTTCTGTGAGTTGACGCAGAATTCGCAATCATGTTGAGCACAGTAGGTGCTCCTCCCATGTGTGTCACCTTATGCTGAATTATACTGTCAAATATGTCCTTTGGAGAAACTTTCCTTAAACAAACATTTGTGCCAAGTTGAGCTGCTACACCCCAAGGGAGACACCAACCATTGCAATGAAACAACGGAACATTCCAAAGATAAACAGGAAATATGTTCATTTGAAAGAGAAGAACTGTTGCTAGAGAGTTTAGATAAGCACCTCTGTGACTGTAGACAACTCCTTTAGGCCTAGATGTGGTGCCTGACGTGTAATTTATACTTATAGGATCCCATTCGCTCTTTGGTTTCACGATATTAAAACCAACATGGCCAACATCCATTAGCTTCTCATACTCATAACTAATTGATGTATTGTCGACAGTAGATGAGCAATCAGAGTCAGTAATTAGGACTATAATAGGCAACTCCGTTCCTCTTTTGCAAAGCAAGTCTAATGCTCCTTGGGCGATTTCAAGTAGTTGGTAGTCTACAAAAAGGATCTTTGCTTGTGAATGCTCTAATAGAATTGAAACCATAGTTGCGTCTAGGCGAGAATTAAGGGTACAGAGAATTGCTCCAGCCATTGGTACTGCAAAATGCAGCTCGTACATTGCAGGAACATTAGGTGCTAGTGTGGCAACCTGTTTTACAAACAACATTGATTAGCATCCAGAAAATTAAAGCCAATAACTAGAAAACTTGAGTTGATGGAAGGGATTGTCTCATATAAAGCTGAATCTGAGACAGTTACAGATAGAATCATACAGTGCCATAAACTAGCTATAGATGTGAAAACAGTATACTCCATAACTTTGTTTCTTACATTTGTTTCCAATGTGTGTGAAAAGTGATTGATGCACAATGTGTGTGAATGTTGTAAGTCTCTGATACGTAATCTGATTCCAACTCTTAAAGAAAAGTGATTACAGTAAAATGAAAACAAAAGATAATTGTGAATAATAACACAACTCACCACATCTCCTCGAGAAATTCCCAATTTGGTAAGAGAAGAAGCGAATTTGAGACAACGTTGATGGGTTTGACCCCAATTATAGCTCAAGGAACCATAAACAAGAGATGTTCTATCTCTGCAAACCTTTGCTGCTCTCTCCAAGAAGTTGATAGGAGATAAAGGAACTGAATTTGCAGAGCAATGAAGAAGACCCTCCGTCGATTCCCAAGATCCTCGATCAGGATCCTTAGTAAAGTTAGAAACTTTACGTGAATAGATGTGGTGGGTTGATTTGAAATGGGTTAAAGAACGAGTCCAAAGCATGATCTTGAAGATGTTGTTCATGGTAACTGGTAAGAGGGTAAGTAACCACACACACAGAGTTTATGGTTCAATGTAAAAGAATTTCAACTGAGATGGCCAATAGAATAGTTTACCAGTTAACATGAAGTGGGGTACAATTCTGACAATGATGTATATGTCTTGATTTTCTTTTAGAAGTTAGTAAATCAAAAATGATACTTATTTTTAGAAACCAATGATAAGATTAAGTATGAAGGAGTCGTGTAGATAAGGCCATTGACTTTATTTAAAAAAAAGGTCATTGGACATTAATCTATTCTTCTAAGTGCTAGTACTTTTTTTGGGTAGATCCATTCTAGTCTGACTAATCGTAATGAGATTATTTCTCATATTAAAAGTTGGTGAGATATAAGATATACCAGAATTTAAAAGATGGTGATATGATTTCTATCGATTCAATAAAAAATATTATTAAATAGTATCTATTAAATCTCTATCACAAAGTAGATAGATAACATCAAATTCAGATTCATTTTAATGAATAAGAATATTGATTAGATACTTGTAGGTGCGGGTAGGGTGGCAAATAGGCAATGCCCGCTCCGCAAAAAAAATCAGATGGGGCGAGGCAGACATTGTGTAGGGAGCGAGCTGAAAACCTTGGTCTGCTCTACAAAAAAAAAAATTTGAGAGTGGGGCAGACCCGTTTTGCCAAAAGTGGGTCAGTTATTCAAATATTAACACCTTAGTTTTTTAAAGCTCAAACCAGTTAAACAGCTGGAAAAAGTTCTTACAAAGTGAGCTTAAAAAAATAGCTGGTTCATAACAAGTAATATTAATAAATAGCAAAACAAATCACGAAATAGAAGTGTGAACCACTTATCACTCTCTATTTGTTCTTCAAGAAAGTAAGTAATACATCATTTTCTGTGTTGCATAAGCATTAATCAAATCATTAAACAGAAGTGCAAACCACTTATCACTCTTTGTTCTTTAGGTGAAAAAATAATACATCATTTTCTGTGTTGCATAAACATTATTCACGACAAAAATTGCTATTTCCAATTGGATGGATGCACAACAATGTTGATAAAATTAACTAGAAAAGATTATCCAAAGCTGACTTGCATTTGAGAAATCAGCAACTAAATGAATCAATCTAAGGCGTCTATTACTGCATCGACAACTTCTTGGGTGGTGCTTGTACCTCCGAGATCTTTTGTCCGATACTTGCCCTCTAGAATGACTTTTTCAACAGCAGTTTCCAAACGGTCAGCAAATGCAGGAAACTGGAGATGCCTAAGCATCATAGCTGATGAGAGAAGAAGTGCCACTGGATTGGCTGTTTTTTGTGCCGCTATTTTATTATTACCAACATTTCCTGCTGAAGCACCCTGCTCAAACACTGCGTGCTCAGCCCCGACATTACCTGCAAAAAAAGGCACCCATGATTTGTGATTATCAGGCCATTATTTGATAATAGAGAATCAAGTTTCTGAATAATAACTTCTAGTATGTAAAGAAAATGGGTCAGTCGGTTTCAAACGGGCGGTTCAAATTTGTCCACCGCTAACTTCTACCTAAACCAAACCACAACAACTAGCTCCAACCTACCAATGAGTACTTTCACCGCTACCACCATCATCGTATTCATATAGCCACTAATACTACTTCCATTTAGAGATGAAAATATGTCAACCAACCCAACATATTTAAGTAAATACTCCAGATAATAAAATTGCATTTCTATTATTATTATCATTCTAGTATCGGATTTTGTACATTGTGTTAGATTATATGTTTGCAAACCTTTTTAATAAGGAAAATGCTAATTCTCCCGAAAATAAACCTAACCCGTTGCTTATTAGCCTGGTAGTCTACTTAAAGATGGATTAGAAAATCTACTTAAAGACATTAGCACAAATGGGTCTTCGAGTAAACTAAAAGGTCATACCAAGTTTTCAAAAAGGTCATACAATTGTGTTTGTTAACCTTTTTAATTATTCATGCACATTCACTAGTACTGCCTTCATAATTTTTGGAATATTTATTGCCTTACTGTTGTAAAATAAAATTTAGAACTAAACAGGTCACAATTCACCAAACTCAGTTTCTCCAATCTATTTCTATATCTATATCATGTCTCGTATCAATATTGGTTTTAATTTTTATTTTATCTCTTATTATAAAGAGAACCAAGCCCATTTTATTAGCAAAAAAAGAGCCTTACCCATTACCTATTAGCCTGTTAGTCTAGTTAAAGATGGATTAGATAACTTATTTAAAGACTAACAGGTCATACCATGTTTTCAAAAAGGTCGAGTCAACCTAAAAGAAAACCTATGACAAGCAATAGGCAAGGCCAGATTTGGGCCTTCAAATTTTTGAACAGGTCAAACCTATTTATGCAAAATCTAACTCAGTCCAAGCTATTTCAACCCCTACCTCCATTTCACTAATATAACTACAGAAACATCTGTATGTATTTACTACGATTAATAACTTCATTATCGTAGATTCGTAGAAGAAGAATGATCTAGCTTGACATATGTCTCATATGATCAAGCAGACAACAACAACAACTAAGTCTTATCCCACTAAGTGGGGTTGACTACATGGATCAACTTTTGTTATAATGTTCTATCAAGGACCATGCTTCTATCCAAATGATTAATCTCGAGATCTTTCTTTCGCCATATGATCAAGCAGACAAATATAATAAAGTCATGTTTATTTGCAAAAAGTTTCAGTGCATAAAAATGTTCACCAGAACAAGTATCTAGACAAGCACGGAAACTCGGTGCTTATATTCTTTCAAGTTTTGAACATTATTCACACATCTCAAAACATGGTAAAAGTGAGCAAGGAAGTATTTAAAAGGAAATCAAAGCTCTAAAGTTCCAATATGGTAGTAACAAATAACTATACCTCCTGGCATGACTCCAGTGCCTCCAGCAATGCCTGCGGCAGTATTTGCAACAAGATTTCCATATAGATTTGGGGTAACCTACCACAAGGTAAAATTATCCATGAATTTCAACCAAAAAAAAAAACTTTTGTTCAACTAAAAATCAGAAACAAATTATGAAGACCAGAAAGTTGCAAAAATAAAATCATCTGGCCTTGAGGTTAATGACCAACGCTCTGCAATGATTCCTACTTGGACCAATAGAAAAGAGATGCAAAATTTATTTGTCCCTTCAATATTCCACAAAGTAGATCTGCATCCTACATCCTCCAATTGTGTATGGGTGGAAAAATTTGGGGAGAAAGGGACTGGAGAGTTATTTTTTTCAGTATAGAGGGATATATATAATGTTTTTAAATGAAAAATTGATGCTTAGAAAGTTACATGATGATCTCTTGATTCGCTCATCTCCTTTTCAAAAAGTAAAAACGAAAATGAAAACTTCTCTCCCCTCCCTAACCTCGAAACTTTTACCTATCACACGCCAATTAGAAGGTGTGTCCCCGCACAAGACACGTATCAGACATTGACACGCGTACGACACGTATCAGACACGTTTTTGAAGTGTCCAACGAAAAATAAATTGAAACGCAACGGATACAAATACGACACACTATTTCAAATAACAAACACGCCAACCTCTTAAATTCTCAGAATTAAAAAAAAAATTTACATTTCATATTCCACTTTTCCACTATAAAAACAACTCGTATTCCTTTTTTTTTTTCATCTTCTCTTTTTGTTTTCATCTTTGCCACACGCCGGTATTCCATCGTCGCCACCGCCTGTATTCCACTCTTTCTCTTCTGATACTCATTCTTTTTCTTTCTTTATTATTTGTCTTTGTTTCTGTTCCTGTTGTCAATTACATACGTCGGCGACAGCACTTCACTCGTGTTATTATGTTTCATGTTAATTGCAGAAATGTTATATGTTAATTAGATATGTTAATTACATATAACACATAACTTGTCTTTGGATGAGCAAGACTTAGAGACCTGTTTTCTCAATGTGGAGTGACTTATGCAATGAGTCACCGCACGTTTACACACCACTTCACCGTGAAAACAAGAAGCTACAAAGTGTAGCTTCTGCTCCAAAACGCACGTCTGGCTTTTTTCACCGCGGATCCAAACAGCCTATAAGTCTTTTTTTGGTTGATTGAAAGTAATAAGTTTAAATAAATATAAATTTTAATTCTCATTTTAGACTTTATAAATTGTGCTCATAAATTGCATTATTTTATTAATATATAAAATATATATAGCTGTGTCTGTGTCTTATGTTTTACATTTGCGGTGTCCTCGTGTCTGTGTTTGTGTCGTGTCCTATGTCCGTGTCCAGGCTTCATAGACTTTTATAGACTAAATGCTAAAGGCTATTGCGCAATTCCTTATCACAAATCTTAACTTTATCCGTCTACATAGGAACAAGGGAAACAAGTAATATTTTTCCAAGACATTCAAACCTTTTTAGTCCATGTCATAGAAAGGGTTTGAATCTCAACAAACGTGGTTTAGGCATGTGTGAGAATATAAATGCCGTAGTATAGAGAGTAGATGAGATGGAGGCAGCTCAATCACTAGTGGCAGAAAGAGGCTAAGAAATTATTAAGACTTAGAAGTCGGTGGTTTTGCTATGGATATGATTTATGATAGAATACCATGACGTCATTTGATCCATGTTAATTACCAGATGCGATCATAGTACTCAGGTGGGCAATATACTTAGGAGATACTCTTTCTTTCCTATTTGCAACATTGCCAACAATCCTAAAGGAACCTTTCGAAATCTGGAATTGTTTCAATACCCATTCATTTTGAAAAAATATATCTTTTTTGCCTTAAAAGTTAAAACATCTTTTGATTGAACCAACACAATGGCAAACTTATAGAAAAAAACTGAATCTTGATTTATGCAAGCAACTAAGCTATTGATTTTCTTTGTCTCAGTCTGCCATGACTCATTTCAATGGACTCATAATATGAGTGAGTAGTTGCCTTTATCACCAATACTTTAATAGCACAAAGCTAACACTTTACATCATCATAGATTAAAGAAAAGTGGATAAATTTTACATACCATGACATCAAACTGCTCAGGCTTCGAAACAAGCTGCATGCAGCAATTGTCCACAATAATTTCATTATATTTAATTCCAGGATACTTGGTGGCAACCTCTCGACAGGATTCCAAGAACAAACCATCTGCAAGCTTCATTATATTTGCTTTGTGGACAGCAGTCACTTTCTTTCTGTTGTTGAGGTAAGCATACTCGAATGCATATTTTGCAATACGCTCAGAACAGAACTTTGTAATCACCTACCAAAAATATCAAGCCAAACCACAAAAACACTCAATACTGCATCAGTACAACAACAAAAGAACTAGATAGATATTCTACGGGAAAATAAGAACTTATATAATTTGTGAGAATGTTATCTACTTTCATTTCTTATTTTCTAAACAAAATAAATCCTGAAATAGTAGATTACAGTCCAGTCAATCAAATAAGATAAATTAAGAGAAAGTGTACTTGAATTTGGAAACTGATTCGTTTTAATCCAAACATTACCATTGCCAACATTCAAGTTAGTTTCTAAAATTGAATATGAACCAAACTTTTAAAATGAAGTTGTGTTGCTATCCTTGATGTTAGATACTGGGTTTTGGGCCTAAGCCTAACCAAATATATTGATTAGTGAGTTGGTTCCAATTGCGATTCGGCCAGTGTGCTTGAGGAGGAAACCTATATATAGGAAGAAAGGGGATGTTGTTCAGAGTTAATTTCAGTTAGAACCTGAAAGGTTTGGGAAGAGAGAGAAATGTCTTCTCCTTGATGAGCTTCCTTCTGTAATACATATATTCTCAATCAAAATTGCAGTTCATTCCCTTTAAATTTGGGTTCCTAATTTCCTACCACTTGATAAATTACATAAAATCACAATCAAAGACGAATGATGCAGCCTCAATCACGGTCGCTTAAAATCACAAACACCAAAAGTCGGAATGTTGTGGCCCATATAACAACAACAAACCTTCTTTAAAAACAAAATTTGCAATTAAGAAACACACCAACACCCACAAGATCAATAACGAATGCCAAATTAATCTTCATTAATCAAAAATTCAAAATGCAACTCAAAACTAAAGTTGAAACTTAAATGACAATATCTAGATTTTTTTTATCCAAGATTCAATACACCCCAATACTTCAACCAAAGACTAATCACTATCGTAGCGTACGCCTGCCGCTAGTCCAACACTTGTTTAACACAAGTGGAGTCAAACCTAAGACTATTTAGATTTCCTTTGCAAACATATAGGTCTAAAGAACTCTTGGGGATTCAAAATTACTTTTGCAGCTTCTTAACCATAAACCAAATACAACAATAACAACAAACAACAACCAAGTTTTATCCCACTAAGTGGAGTCAGCTACATGGATCAACTTTTACCATAATGTTCTTGATAAATTTCAATTTGCAGTTTCTCTCACTCCACAAACCCAACAACTTCATGATCAAATTGAAATTCATGAACAAATTGAAACAACAATATATAACAAACAAATCAGAGTTATTTTACCTTTAGGCTTTCGACGACTCCGGGAACAACCTCATGTTCAAGCCCAGCATACTCCCCTTCAGTATTCTCCCTAATAACTACAATATCAACATTATCATGTCTCGTAGGCAATCCCGGAAGATTAAAGCAATTAACAAGCGACGCATAGAGATCAAGCTCCTTCCTAAGCTGAACATTAAGCGAACTAACACCACCACCCATAGGAGTAACCAATCCACCTTTCAGACAAACCTTATTCTTCCGGATCGATTCAAGAACCTCCGTGGGAACAGCTTTCATATCACCGTGCACATCGAATTTCTCAAAATAAACAGGCGCGTGCATCGCCTCCATCACTTGCTCAACCGCGCCGGTAACGAGTGGTCCGATCCCGTCGCCGGGGATCATTGTCACGGGACGCGGTGTTCCGTCGCCGGGACGGTGCATGTAGGTCACCCATCGCTTTGAACCGAGTGACGACTCCGATCGGGGAGATATGAGGTGGTTGAGGAGTTTTGTGGATCTTCTTGCCATTTGTGACATCGGTTAGGGTTTCGAAATAAAAGCGTTGTTGTAGATTTGGTTTTTAGTGTGTGATTTCTGAAGCCACCATTGAAGAACGATGAGAGAAGAATAATAAAATGGAAAAGTGACGCATTTAAAATTTATTCACTGCGCTTATTTAAAATTACGCGTTTAAGCCTTCAGCGAATATTGATGGTTGGATTGATATTGGACGGTGTAAGTTTTAAATTTATTTTTTTACTTTATTAAAAGCTAAAATTCCGGCTTTAAGATTTGTGCAAAATCAAACGGTCAAACACGTGATGAGTGTGTAAATATGAAATTTTGCGACTATAGGATAGTAATATCTATAATAGGAAGAACCGGAATTGTAGTGGCTAGTAAGAATTTGACTTTATTTTGTTTGTATTTATTGTTTTAATTTTCTATTATTTTAGTAATAAATAAGGAAGAATAATACTATGATTTTTGGACCTCCATTTCACAAAATAGGAATAGGGAGACTCAAATTTATGGGGTCCATTCGCATTTGAACCCGAGTTAATGGGTGAAAATTCGACTTGATTGAATTCGGATTTGAGTGTCATTTGATATTTTAAATGTAGGTTTAGATTTACTCAAATCGTCATTTGAAATCTGAAACCACACCTGCTTAGACATTAAATTATATAAGTATTCCTAAATATATATAAGTGTAAAAATTTAAAACCTTAATTGTAATGTTATTAAACTTGATGTAAAGTTGTAATTTAATTCATTAATTTCTTTGAGAGGCCTTGATGGAATTCTTGTGTTTCAAATTTCAATGTTACTGTTGTATTTTTTGTATTTTTGCTGCGGATTTGGATTTAGGTGAAAAAACCCGAACCCAATGGATATGAGCGTGGGTGACCCGAATAGCCTTTATATTTAGGTCCGGGTGGTGATTTCAGGTGCAGATTTAGGTAGTGTGAAACCTGCACCCGACTCTACACGTTGTCATCCCTAAATAGGAATGGAAAAAACTAAACTGGCATTCAGTGTTTTAATATTTGGTCTAAGTTGGTCGATCAGACTGATTAGATCAGCGAGCTACTTGATTTGTAAGATAGTACACTTTTTAGAAATTAAATATTTGAAAAATTATGATAAATCATTTAAATAAATATTTAATTATTAATTTCTCGATTCTAAAATTATTATTACTAAAAAAATAATTATGGTCAAACGGGTGCTATCAGGATGAAAAGGGATGCATAAAACATGGGTATCGAATGCAAAAATTAATCCAAGGACCAAAAATGTCAAGGAGACTGAAAAACAAAAAACTAATTGATTATACAACCTACGTGTTTCAAATTTGATACAAAATTAGATTTAATCTTCGCCTTCAAGCAAATCAAATTAGTGCGTTGACGGAAAACGCGAAGATCTTCAAAATCATCATGATCTAATTGATTATGATTGATAAGTGCCAAAATGTCATTATTTTGTATAGTAATTTATGGCACTTATTGACTCTGCACTTTTGGTTTTTATAGTAAAACCCCGACTTTTGTGTACATAAACGTTAAATAGTTTATTTGTGTAAATATTATATTAATTAATAGTTTTTATTCAATTTTTGTAGGATTTATCGCATTGTTGAAGCATGGAACAATAAAAACTGAATAAAGCTTCAAGATGCAAGTTTTGGAAGAAAATAACATGTTCTAGGTCGGGCTAAGCAAGGTCATAATGCACGTGTTGAGTGGACAGACAGAGGTGAGCAAGCTAAGCGCAGTCTGAGGGCGGTTAGAGCGCTCTAAGGCGGTTTGCCCAATAAGTGGCAACGCGCTTAGCGCGGTCTGCGAATTTTGCTTTTGGTATAAATAGATTTAGAACATATATTTAGGTATGGTTTTGGAGAATATTTGTCCCAACTCCATCACCTTCCATTCTTTGATGATTGAGCTTAGAAAACATCAATTGGAGTTGCATCTTGATGATCAGAGATGAGTTTGCTTCAATCGGAGTGACAAACCGAGCGATTTATGTTCATTTTCTTCTTTCTTCTCTTTGTACCCTCACTTGTTGGGGTTTTGTATGTAAGTATATTTTGTTTTGTATGTATATTTATTGCTCATGGTATTGCATAAAACTTCTTTTACAAATCAATATTGATGTTTATCCTTGTGAGCTTGCTTAATGTTTGGATCTGAGTTGCTATAGACATATTATGATGAATATATGTTAGGTTCTAAGTTCTAGAAATAGATTTAGGATTAATGATCACTTTAGGTATCGGCTCTTAATGCCTCCTTGTTGATTGAGTTGCGCAAGACATCGTTGATGAAGATCAACATGGTTGATATCTCACTTTGCCTTAGAGATGACCTTTGTGTGAGAGATACGTGATGATATTGGCTAGTATTTTAGATTGAGTACAATTGAGTAGTACATTTAAGTATTTTGACGGGTATATGAAATTCAATACCGAGAGTTCTCTCCTCTTCGGAGAATGTATTTATTTTATGTTAATAACTTTACTTTTTTCACCTTATACCTTTAAACCCATTCAAAACTAAGCTTAGAAACGCAAAAACTATTGAACGGCATTCTTTCCCTTGCCGGATCCTTGTGGATACGATAAAACCCGAAATATTTCCAATATTTTGCTTATCGCTTTACTACGTCAACAAAATGGCACCGTTATTAGGGATTGGTGTTTTGATATTGAATTGTATCGCAATAGTTTTTATGGTTTTGAGTTTTGCACATAATGTTCATATTGTATATAATGTGTGAATAGAAACTTGTTTATATTGGCATTTGTATATGTTTACCATATTTGTGAATTTTACATGTTTTGTATACTTGTAAATTGTGTATATGTTTGGTTCCTTCATGTTTACTAATGTGTTTGGTTAGGCATAGTCGTCGATGAAAACTAATTGTGTAAGGAAGCAATTTGGAGGAGTGTGTATACATAAAGACGTCGAGCTAACGATGTAAAACAAGCGCTTGTTGGGAGGCACCTCAACAATTGTAAATTCTGAAATTTTGGCAGTTGATGTATTATGGCGGAGTGGACGTTTAACAAGGGAAAATCATATGTGATTTTGATTTTTCTACACAGACCCGCTCGCGTTGAGCACGGTCTGTGCGCGTTAAGCGCGTACTTTTTGGTGCAGCGCACTAAATGCGGTTTGTGGGGCTAAGTGTGCCCTGTTGCGTACCAGTGGAATTTCTGTTTCACTCGGTCCCTTTTTTCCCACTTTTACCAAAGTTGTTTATAGTAGTAAATAGTAGTAGTATTACTAATTTTTTTGTTTATTGTTTAGACTCCAATTTTGGTCTGTTAACTTGAAGAATTTTGAGGTGATTTTCCAAGTTTAATTGTTTCAACTTGCGGATATATGATAATGATATTGTTTTCAAAGTTGGTACACGTCACATACTCGTTTATCGCTTTCTATAGCATAGCATGTTTAGGAAACTTATCATTTATATAATTACCATATCATTCATTATTTTGCATTACTTACTTTTTGATTGAATCACTTTAGTTCCTTTTTAACCCCAAATGTGAGAAAGTTTTCTATTGTTCATATATGTTGGAGACCTCAATTCTTGTTTTAACTGGATTTTATTATGTTTAATCTTTTATTTATGTTGATTGATGAAAGCATGAAAATGATCAAGGCGTTTTGTTTCATTTTGAGCACAACCATATGGCTAAATAGTCAATTAAAAAATGTCAGAAAGTATTTTTTAAGTAATTAAAAGAAAGCAAATAATTCAAAAAAATACAAAAAATACCAAATGTCAAAATAAAAATGTGAAAAAATAGTCATGAGATCAGAAATAATTCAAAGTATTTTTGTGAATTTTTTCATAATTTTTGGATAAAAATAAAAGAGTTATGAATTTTTAAAAATTTAATCAATAAAAATATAAAATCAGAAAATAAAATAAAACCAAAAAGATGTGGACCATCAAATCATAGCCAAAACGCGTTAGTAAGCTAATCTAGTGGACCAGACGCGCTGTGCTTGATATGGACCTTGGTGAGATACGCATAAGATCAGAAAAGGGGCAACCAATGAAATTAAAACGTTTGGCACGCTATCATTGGCTGAGACGAGACATGTCATCGTCTTCAACCTCCAGACACCTTGCAATGGGGATTTTGTGAGATCCTTCAAATGGAAAAATTGGGATCCCAGGCTAGTATCATTGAACTCCTCTCTTCAAGACGATTCTAACACCACCATCGCGCCAAATTTATATAAGGTATGGAGAGAGATATGAATCAAAAACCCAGAAAATAGCGAACACCTTCAATTTGAGATTTCTGTCTCAATTCTCAATGGATTTAAAAATTGTAAGCAGCATTAGAATCAGGAGAAGGAGTAGAATAAATTAGTGCTTGATTTGGATCCAAATGGTGGAGAATTCTACCTTTTCGAAGTTCAAGGAAGAAGCTCTGAAACTGGACTTATGTAGCTTGAATTATGGCTCATTTTGATTGGTTTAAGTGCTGGAGAGTTTATATGATGATCAAGGATGATGAATGCGCAAAGAATTTTGGAAAAGGGAGCTTAAATCTCAAAAACTGAATTCAAAAAAGATGGGTTTATGTGAAGTTTTGGTAGGGTGATTTTGGATCTCAAAGCTTGAAGAAATGAATGGGGGATGACCCTCTATTTATAGGGAAGTGAATGGGAATAAAAAATTGAAGAAACAAGGAAGTTTGGAGGGAAATTGAGTGAAGGTCGAGCACGAGTGAAGTGTGACTTCATTTTCATAAAAACTCAACCAAATCTTGCGTTTTGGGGTACTAATCACTTCTAGAAAGTTTTCTAATCAAGTTTAAATCAAAAACACGCATAAATCTTATGTTTAGAAGTCACATTATGGATTTCAAAATTCTGACTTTGTGGAAAATTCAGTTTCAAGTTACCAAATTCAAATCCATGGCATTTCCAACTCAAGTGGTCTTAGGGCATAATTCTTGTTGCTTTAGAAAGATGAGGTTACAAGCTTTG